GTAATGTGCACTAGGACATCTGCAGGAAGGCTGAAAGTGAGTGAAAATTTTGATATGATCTTACCATCAACGTGATTTAACATTCAGTAGGCAGAGACTCTCTCAGATCAGATTACCCATAAAATGTTCCATCATATACTGAGCAAAGTAGAGGGTTCCTTTATCTATAAGTTCGCTTCATTAGCATAAGATAGTTATGAAAAGAATGACTCTTGATTCACCTTACTTGGATTATAAAATGTGAGGTTGGATTTAAGCCTACCATATGGATAAGGGATCAATTTAGCCCTTAAGTGTCTTTTGTAAGCTCCCATGGAAGGCATTAGAAGTTTTGTGAGCATACTAGAAGGAAAACTTGAGGCCTAGTTATGCATATTCAGCAGACCTGTCTAGATCCTCTGTTCTAAGAAACTAAAATAGATGAAGATGTGCCTCCTAGGAATTAATCACACTATTATTCAAATGGAAATAAAAGAAATGCATGGCTCCAATGGCAGAAAACTTCCCACATTACAATCCACAGGCTGAGCACAAGGGGGCACTTGGCAGTTTGGAAACAGGAACTATTTCAAAATGAGCTCAATTCCAAGATTTTTTCAAACTTGGCTCTCAAGAACTGAGCTCCTTCTCCCCTAGAAATACTGGAAACTATATCTAGGAGTACAGTATAGGCAGGGAGGTCACAAAAAACCATGCATTCTACAACTAAATTTAGTTGTGGTACTCAGTCTTGGACCTGGAAGAGGATGTCATTCACATATAAGGAAAATCAGAAAAGACACTTCCTCAGTTTTCCTTTTGCTAGATAAAATTTAGATCTTAGTAGGAAGAAACAGAAGTCAGCTTTGCCCAAGTTTTTCTCTCTGCACTGACCTACCCTAAAGTCTTCTCCACAGGTCCCTCATGTGGCTATAGTGCTTACCATTCCCCACCCTGGGCAGATGTTCCTGAGCTTCAAAGTACACCACATTTCTAAATTGCCTATCTTCCCTAACCCTTCACATCTCTAGACCAAGATTTGGCTACATCGCTTACTGTCTCTATGATTTTGAGCAATTTAAATTGTCCAATCATCTACCTGTAAAATAAAGATGATATAACCCTAATAGGACTAATCTAAAAATAGAATAAAAAATATATATATTATGCATAGTATACCTGAACTCTACATGACCCCAATGATACAGCAGCAGCTTATTATTATTTTGGTTATTTAAATTAATTAAGCCAAGCACTTAAAAAAAAAAATCCTCACCCAAGGATATGTTTATTGATTTTAGAGAGAGAAAGGGGGAGAGAGACACATCTATCAGTTGCCTCTCACATGCACACCAACCGGGGATGGAACTCGCAACCTGGGTATGTGCCCTGACCAGGAAACCAACCCACAACCTTTTGGTGTATGGGATAATGCTCCAAGTATAATAATTGAGCCACCTGCCCAGGGCAATACTTTGTACTTGTAAAAAAAAAAACTACACAAATATATAACCTATTATATTTAATAGTTATTAGATATGAATTAACATTTATTTATTTAAAAGATGCCCAATTCTTCAGCAAATCCCTAAGAAAACATTGTTTTTCCTAACACTCACACACAAAAATGCATCTGACTACCCCCCACAAATCCTACCTGAGATCCCACTATTGGTTAAATAGGCACAAAGTTTAAACTTTTCTCTACATCCATCAAAAAATGATTAAAAGATGACTATAATCCTAAATATAAATTCCATTTAAAATTTCTAATGCTGAGGTTTTACTTAATGTTTTTAATAACCTAAATCACCACATCCTTCATTGATATAAAAAAACGAAGATCCATAACAAAAGTTTCATTAACTGATGCTTCAAATCCTCAATCTAGTAATATTGATGATAGAAAAGGCCATCCAGGAAAGTACCACATTTGACTTTTTATAAGTAGTAAATATATAGAGAGAATAAAAATAAGAGTGAAAACTACATGGAGGCTAAATGTCGATTTCTACCCTTCACTTTCATGCTCACGAATCCTAGAACTAACACTAAATTGTGAAATTTAAGTCTGTCCCAGCCACAGTAGCAGACTTAATGCACCATTAATCTGGTCTGTTCTCAGCTGCCAATTGAAATTTTCACAGTCATTTGATTTTTAAGGAAAGGAGAGTACTGCAGAAGTACATTCCAGAGGTCTTTTCATAAAAACCATCCTGTGTGCTCCATCTGCACGTGCAATCTGCTGGGGTATTTTCAGCCAGCTTGCCTGGGCAGATTAATGCATACAATTAGAAAGCAACCTCACAGGCATTCAATAAACTGCCTTCATTATTACACTCAGGAGAGTCCCTTTGGATGTCAATAAAAGCCTAGTTTTCTGCCTGTTAGCTAAATAATTGACAACACTAAAAATAATCAGAAGCAAATGAACAAAGTCAGGAACAAGGTGTTAAGAAAGAGCACATTAAGATTCCCGTGGTGGTGCCCAAAGATGCTATCATGAGCTTTTTCGCTAGCAACTTGGATTTACAGTCCACGCAAGTCCATGATTACCCTTCTCTTCAGAAAAACAACAAGGACAACAACAAAAACGTTCCTTGTTTGCTATTGGAATCACATATCACAGCACACTGAAAAAATGGTAAGGACATGAGGTATTGACTGGTTTGAAAGAATTTCTTTCTTGTGTTTCTATTTTGTGTTTCTTGGTTTGACAGTTTTATGAGAATCTAATTTTAGGGTAGGAAGGTGGCGGGAGGATGAAGAACAGCCTGGTGGAATCTTTGCACTATTAAAATTCTAACAGCTCTCCTAGACAAATTTTCCCCATAAACTGACTCTAAGAAGGTATTACCAAGACTTCTTATGCAGAGTTTCCATCTTTTCTAAGAAGTCCCTTTCATATTTTTATTTATTATAATGGTCATTCCCTTCATGAGCTATGGGTCTTTTTAATGTCAAAAGTAGTTTAAAAATACTCTTTTAAAAACTTACAAATATATTCTTCTTGTGTTTCTCAATAGGCTTTAAAAATCAATTTGAGATACTTCACATTTTTAGCCAACTTCTTCTTTCCCTGGTTAGCTGGGACTTTCACAATAAGCAGAAGAAAGATCAAGAGTGAAATGTGCCTGTAATTGAATTCAGCTCCACTGATGGTTGTGAGGTGGCTGCAGGTAAAACATTTTCCTTCAAAGAAATAGGATGATTGGTCTCTGGCATTCAGGAAAATACAAATTCAAGAAGCCAGAAGACTGTGAAAGAAAGGAGTTGGATGGCACAATCTCCGTGTCTTTTGAAACTATCGCACAACCTTCACTTTACCATGTTAAAACTCTCCAGAAAAAGGACTCATTCAACTTCCCAGTCCTTACCTAAAACCCCAAGTTGGTAAGCAGGCCTCCCCTTTTTCTAGTGTAAAACTAGGATGCCACAAGATAAATATATTTGTTCTTATTGTATCTGTAGGCTACAACTCTCATCTATTCTCTACCCATAAATGGGGTTCAATAATAGAGCTCTTCATTTATTGCCTCCCTCCTGCCATCTCTCTAAGACAGAGGATTTCTGGTGTTTAGCTTCCTACCAGCTCCCTCATCCCCCATGCCTGCCTTAAAGAAGAGCAGGGAAAGTGTGAATTCTATATCTCAAATGAGGGCAATGCCTGTTTAACTTAGAGAAGATATTGTCATTCATTAGTGTTTCTACCCACTCCCATTTCATCCCCCACTCATTTTCCATCCTGGGTAGTAGAGACCAAGTACCTAACTTGCTTAGGGGCAAAGTGAAGCTCTAATAAAGTTCTTTCCCAGTTCCTACCTCTTGAGACTTAAAGCAAGGAGGAGTTGCTTACCCTCGAGGCAGAATAATTTCAGTGAAATGAGAAAACAAGAACATGCTATACTTATAAGAGGAGCATGATTTAGGGTGTTATATATTCTCACCCTACACAGAATAACCTTAAATTCTGCAAAAGAGGTACATTAATGGGGAGAGAAGAGAGAAAAGAGTGAGAGAGCAATCCATCAAAAGAGTGCAAGGCCAATAACTAGATCTCATGGGCCAAAAATCTCCGCACAGTCCTGGCAAGATCAAAGTTGTCTGATCCCATTCAACAAGGACCTCTATAAAAAATTTCAAGTCCCTAAAATTCAGGCATTTTCATGCCCTTTACAGAAGATAGTTTATGTAATCCTTACAGATAGGCCTGTATAAGGACATTATCATACCTATTTAATTTTTTTTAAATAAAGTTCAAAGAGGCTTAGTAGTTTTGACCAGGGTCATATCTTGGAAACAGAGCTATGACTTTGAACCCAGATCAGCTTGGTTTGAATTCTACCAAATTTGGAATTAACCTAGGGCCATAAATATGTTCCTTTGGTTTTGTCTATTCTTTTAAGCAGTAAGCAAGTAACCTAACTAAACAAAGTTAGCACACAAGCTTATCTTTAAAGCCTATATAACAGAGTAGATTATCTATATTATACAGCACAGAGAAGTTAGTTGTTTTGTACATGTTACCTGCTGTTATTCACAAATCACGCCAGAAAAAGTATTTTAGTTTATAACCACCAATTGGCATTTTTGCCTATAATTACTTACTAATTTCTCAATTCTTGTCTACAAAAATACCTGTGTGTAATAGTTCTCAATCCATTAGATAAATGTCTAGTTAGTTTAGATTCTGTATTGGTAGTTTTTTTCCAAACACCTGCTTCAGTTTATGTCAGTGTCTTAGAATTCAATATAATTACAAGTGCCCCAAGTCACCAAAATTATTTAAATAAAGAATTCCTCAGGTTTAGCAGTAATATTTCTAATCGAATACTAAAAAATACTTTGGTAAGTATAGATATTGCCAACCTTAGAATCTCACTTACATAATGAAGAAGTTCAATTACATAATTAATGTAACAGCCAATAATCAAATATTAGATGTTTTGAAAAGTTACCATCACCTAGCAGAATGAATAATATGGTCATAAAGGTACAAAGCTCTGAAAAAATAAACTTACTATTGCTGATGCTCTCTAAATGCTTCTCTTCTGAGATTTTCTTGAAGTCTTTTTTTCTCCTCTAGATTTTTGCTCTGAAATTATAAATATCAAAATGTAATCTATTAGAGAAACTTACACAGAATCATGATGTGCACATTACCTAGTGGCCAAAACCATTAGGCTTAAGCAGCCCCAATAGTCTAAGAAGGTATTACCAGGCCTTCCAAGATGGTGTCCCTCTCCCAGCCCATAGGTACTACTCCGAAAGCCAGGAGCACCCAGTTCTTTCATTGGCTCCCCTCTTTCAGCCTGATTGGTATAATCACACAATCAGTATTTCAAATTTTTATTCTTTAGTTTAAATGACCACATCATTTATATTTTAAGCAGTGTTTTAAAAATGTTCTAAAGGAAACATGAAATTTCCACACAAAGTAAGTTAAATTAAAATTATAATAAATGGTGAAATAGTCCAGACAACATTTATATATACTAAAACATTCAGAAAAAGATTTTCAATAAGCCAACCTAACTCCCTTAGAATCAGATACTTAAAGTTGCTGAGAGACTCAACAGCAAAATGCTATTAAAAAGCCATCATTTGAATAGAAAAGAAATCTCTTTTTTAAAACTGGCTATTTGGTACCTGGCCAGTGTGACTCAGTGGTTGAGCATCAACCTATGAACCAGGAGGCTACAGTCTTTAAAAGAAATCTTGCTTTTGAACAAGTAAAATTCCTAGAAAGTTAATAGGGAGTTGAAACAAGTTATCACAGGGGAGACTTGAAGTTTTAAATGAATCCAAATGAAATGTGAACAGCTGTGTTTGCTTTAATATAAAGAGCTAGGTTTGCTCAGCAGGAGGACCTGGGAAAGGAAACTGATAGAAATCATCACTTTCAAACCCCAATGTCAGTTTGGCTTCAACTTTCAAAGAGGTAGGAATATTCATATTGTTCATTTCCAAAAAACTCTTCATTCACACAGAACAATTTACTAGTCCCATTTTGCAAGGTGAATAACTTCAGTTTTGGGGAAAAAACAAGGAAACTTACTACAATCAATATAAATCAATTAAAATACAAGGCAACTGGATTATTAATGAAACATAGTTCTAGGGAAAAAAAACTAATAGAGAATTATAAAACCAAATAAATATCCCATTCTAAAAAAAAAAAAACCCTGACTCATGAAACCCAAAGTGGTCAGTTGTGATGAGCTTCCTACATCTTTGAGGAGGGGAAAAAAAGGTGAAAGATGATTCCCCAAGAGACTTACTATCATACTAGAGGCCCTGGGCATGACATTTGTGCACAGTGTGGAGGCGGGTCCCACAGCCCGGCCTGCTCCCTCTCCCAGGCCAGGGCCCCTTGGGGAATGTCTTACTGCCAGCTTAGGCCCAACAGAGAGTGGGCCTAAGCCAGCAGGTGGATGCTGCAGAGGTGGGAGAGGCTCCCATCACCGCTGCTGTGCTCACCAGCCATGAGCCTGGCTTCTGGCTGAGTGGTGCTTCCACTGTGAGGGCACACTGACTACCAGGGGGCAGCCCCTGCATTGAGTGTCTGTCCCTTAGTGATCAGTGGGCATCACAGTGACAGGATATTCCACCATTTGGTTGATTTGCAGGTTAGCCTTGTATTGTATAGGATAAGAGGATGAGAACCATAGGTCTAATGAAAGCTAGAAATTCTTGATAGAGACCAAACTTAAACAAACAAGAGCTTTCCAAGAGGAGAAGGGGATGATGGGAGTAGGGCTACCGAACTCTATTGTATGGGCTACTCACTGCCTGAGAGGGCCAAGTGGAAAGGCTTGGAAAGGCTGAAAAAGAGGCAGCTTTACACTCATCACACCTAGCACCACAGCATGGGGAGCTTCAGCACAGCAGAGGTGTCTTTCTATTTTTCACAAAGGTGCCTTCTATCACCAATCTGAGCACCTGCAGACCTGACTGTCTGGATGGGGAATCACTTCCAATTTGCACATAGGCAATGCTGGGCTGGTAGTAGCCATGAATAGAAAAAAAAAATGGCATTTCCACTGTCTATAGTATTTTCAATGTACAAATGCACGAGAGAATATGCCAGTTCAGGAAACTCCAAGATGCTCCTGGATAAATTTAAAGGTGTTTGTAATTATATGAGTGAAAGACAAGGTAAAAATGGGTAATTATAAAGGGGTTTGTATGCCAACTCTGGACTTTATTAAAGGCAGATAAGCTATTATGTTATTTTAAGCAGGAAAGTAAGCAACTCACTCTGAAAGCATCACAGAGAATGGACCACAAATATAAAAACCAATAGAATGACTTTCAGAGCAATCCAGGCCATAAATAATGAGTCCCAGATTAAGGCAGCGGGGATAGAAAGAAAGGACAAACTCAAAAAAAAAAAAAAAAAAAAAAAGTAGGAGATAGAAACAACAGGAGGGGGAAAAAAAATGAAATAATAGAAAGCATGACTATCTATATATATAAAAGCCTAGACCATCTGTCTGACTGGTAGCTATGACGTGTAATGATGACCAGGAGCAGACACTCCAACCAGTAGCTATAATGTGTACTGACCACCAGGGGGAAGATGCTCAACATAGGAGCTGCCAAACTGTGGTGACTTGACAGCAGCAGTTCTCAGGTGACACACCCAGAACCAGAGAAAAGGGAGCCAGATTCCAGGGTGTGTCACCTGAGAACCACCTTCTTGTAATCTAGGATCCCTTGGGGGATGGTGGAAAGCTGGCTTCATCCCCGTCCCACCAGGCTAGCCTAAGGGACCCTACTGGTCCACGAGTCACATGCACTGGGCCTCTAGTATTAATACAGGATGTGTAAGGAAAAGGGAATAGTACCAGATGAATGTCATTTAAGAACATCAGAGTGAATATATGAAGCTATTGGATTTGAGATATACTTATGGAACAACTAGAGAGAACTATCAAGCATCCAGTAAAATATCTGGTCCTGGGATTCAAGAATATGGTTTGGCCTGAAGATATGGATTTCAGAAGTCATCAGCACAAGCAATAACTAAATCCTTATATTTTGAAATGTGCGGGGCGGGGGGTCCACTTAAGGATAGGGTGGCATAGACACGGAAACATTAGAGAATATCAAGGAATGAACCTGATGGAACATAAATAGTAGAAAAACAAGTGAAGGAAAAAGGATCCAGAGGCATTTTAGAGAGGTGGGACTTAAAGGACAGAGTATTTTATAATTACAATGTTACAAGGAGTTTAAATAAGTTAGGAAATTAAAGAGTCTCCATCGGTTTTTCAATTAAGAGCACTACTGGTGATCTTGACTAGATCAATACCAATGAAGTACTAGAGATAGAAGGCAAATTCAGAGGTGAAGACTCAAAGAAGCCAAGTTCCTGAGCCAGTTAAGCTCAGCATCACCTGGGAACATTAACAGATGACTGTAAGGGTCAGTCCACAGATTGGCAGGTGGAGACCACATGTGGTAGAGATTTCAGAAGTTGAGCCTCGATGATTGGAATGGAGAAGTTGAAATAAAACCAGAATAGAAAGAGATACTTTGTTTTATTTTATTTTTTTAATATACTTTATTGATTTTTTACAGAGAGGAAGGGAGAGAGATAGAGAGCTAGAAATGTCAATGAGAGAGAAACATCGACCAGCTGCCTCTTGCATGCCCCCTACCGGGGATGTGCCCACAACCAAGGTACATGCCCCCGACCGGAATCGAACCTGGGACCCTTCAGACCGCAGACCGACGCTCTACCACTGAGCCAAACCGGTTTCGGCGAGATACTTTGTTTTAAAGATAAGAGACTTCAGTATGATTTTATTCTGAGATCCCAAAAATAAAAATAATTTTTAAAAAACGCACAAGAAAGTGACAGGGAAAAGGGGGGCTTAACCGATAGAGCAGCAAGGTTCCTGAGAATATGGAAAAGCAGATGAGATGGTAAGCACTGGGAGGCAGAATTTATTATAGCAGCAAGGAAAATCACTTTCTTATTCCTCCTGAGATAAGGCAGGGATAGAAATAGCAAAGAAAGATGATAAAAATGGAAAAATAAAGGTACTTATGACCTGACAACCTTTACTTTCTAGAAGGTAAGTGATGAGATGAACATGAAAAATAGAATTTTTAAAACATAAAAGGTGGAAAGCCTTAGTAATTAGAAGTGAGCCTAAATTTCAAAGGAAAAGTGTCAGGCTTTAGGCACTGTTAATGACCTAGCTGAGAAGGAAGCCCAGTAGTCTGGTGTGGCCAAAAAAAATAAATAAATAAAATAAAACCATGAGCATTTTGTTTGTTTTCTCTAGAAATCTTATTCCCATGGGCCTGGTGGAAATGAAATAATTGAGCCAATTAATTCACATGAGGTTCAACACAAAAAGTTGATATAGAAGAGTCAACTGCTATCTTGTTAAGCCACTTCTTTTTTTAATTTAAAATCTTTATTGTTGAAAGTATTACATATGTCTCCTTTTCCCCCCATTGACCTCTTCCCAGCTGCTCCCACATCCCAGCATGTGCCCTTGCTCCCCTACTGTCTGTGCCCATTGGTTATGTTTATATGCAGGTATACAAGTCCTTTGGTTGATCTCTCCTCCTTACCCCACTCTCCTCTACATTCCCTCTAAGGTTTGATGGTCTGTTTGATGCTTCTATGTCTCTGGATCTATTTTGTTCATCAGTTTATATTGTTCATTATATTCCACAAATGAGTGAGATCATGTAATATTTATCTTTCTCCAACTGGCATATTTCACTTAGCATAATTCTCTCCAGTTCCATCCATGCTGCTGCAAATGGTAAGAGTTCTTTCTTTTTTATAGCAGCATAGTATTCCATTGTGTAGATATACCACAGTTTTCTAATCCACTCATCTGCTGATGGGCACTTAGCTGTTTTCAAATCTTAGCTATGGTGAATTGTGCTGCTATGACCATAGGGTTGCATATATCCTTTCTGATTGGTGTTGCTAGTTTCTTGGGATATATTCCTAGAGGTAGGATCTTCAAAAGCATAATTAATCAGATTAGAGCACCCTCACTGAGTTTTTACTAAGTGCTAGTCATTGTATCCTTTAAGCCAACTGGTCCCATTGTTATATTA